TGTGCTCAGATGGCGACATGACAATGTCCGCGGGCAGAGCATTCCATGTCCTTACCCTCTTTTTGTTGATAAGCTCGCGTTCATTCTCCCGACGTTGCCACTCCTCAGCAAAGACAGCCATGAGCTTCTGTTCGCGCTGACGCAGACTGGCCTTAAAGCGTGCCTCCTCCTCTGCACGCCACAGCTCAAGTTCCAGAGCAGCGCGATATTCGGCCGTCTGACGAACCTCCACAGACGGGAAAGCGGTTGGCAAATCTGCAGCGGAACGCGATGGCCGCAAGCAGGAGACAGCGGAGCCGTCGGCCGAAGATCTGCGCTGTCTAAGTGACTGAAACCAAAGGGACGGAAGAGAGCGTAAGTACACAGGACAGCCATATTTGTTTAGTAATAGGCTTTTTTGGCAGAGTTGAATAAAGCACTTGACCCAGTTATGAAAAGTTCGGCGGCCCCGGTGGAATTCGAACTCACGTCAGCAAGGGGAGTCTTTAGTACGGCCAACGTTCTAGTCCACTAAGCTGCGAGGCCCCCACGAGGAGCCATGAGTATAATCACATTTGGGTCAATTTAGCTGCCCAACCCACTGCAATGTATACAGTTAACCAATTCTGACTTTGTAGCGAAATCCTTGTACTAAACATTTATGTGCGTCGTTTTAAATGAAACCATTGGATGGGTACAAGTAATATTTTGCTATTAAATTAAAGCAACCAAGTTCCCGACGGTGGAAATGTTGAGTAAATGTATATTTGCCTACTTCAAGTTGGATTGTGAATTGTTATTTTACTAAAAACTGTGGATTACCTCTTTGAGCGGGCTTTTCAAATTGAGCAACCATTTTTTCTCCCTCCATTGCCTGTTTATTTTCTTATACATACGTCGGTTGGCCTACTTCGCCCATTATAAACTGATTTTTATCCCTCTTTTTATTTGAACTATAATGAGGTCATCAGTGCACGACGCTAGCGCCGTTTTGAAAGCAGTCCAATTTGGCCTAAATTTGACGAAGTTCCCAAGGACGTTTATCCACTACGTCGACACGTGTAGTCATTGACGATTATGGATTGCTTTTGATTTCCCGGTGTTGTGAGTTAGTGCGCCTAATTTTATTTCTTGTGAATCGAGCACGCTTTTGCTGAAAATTTTGGAATAACATTTTTAAAATAGAGCGTATCTCTCTCTCTCTCTCTCTCTGTAGTTTAAATGTTGAGAGCATTTTAGAAGAAGCCAACCCTTATCGCATACTAAGCTACTAATATCGCAGGCAGTGTTA